TGAGGGATACTCCTAGGCCGTTAGTTTGAAATGAGGGATACTCCTAGCCTCTTAGTTTGAAGTGAGGGATACTCCTAGGCCGTTAGTTTGAAATGAGGGATACTCCTAGCCTCTTAGTTTGAAGTGAGGGATACTCCTAGGCCTGTTAGTTTGAAATGATGGATACTCCTAGGCTGTTAGTTTGAAATGAGGGATACCTCTAATTCGTTAGTTTGAAGCGAGGGATACCTCTAGCTTGTTAGCTTGAAATGAGGGATACCTCTAGTTTGTTAGTTTGAAATGAGGGATACCCCTAATTCGTTAGTTTGAAATGAGGGATACCTCTAGCTTGTTAGCTTGAAATGAGGGATACCTCTAGTTTGTTAGTTTGAAATGAGGGATACCCCTAGTTTGTTAGTTTAAAATGAGGAATGATTATGCGTAGATAACCTTTTTGTTGCTATGCAATAACACTAAACACACAAAATCAAACCGTATAACACAATCTAAAACGAGATAATTCTTCTCTAGAGTTCTAAATTGTTCATTTATACGAGATTTCAAATCGTATTATTCACACACAAAAAGGTATCAGTGAATTATATTTCAAATCGTATTATTCACACACAAAAAGGTATCAGTGAATGACATTTCAAATCGTTTTATTCACACACAAAAAGGTATCAGTGAATGACATTTCAAATCGTTTTATTCACACACAAAAAGGTATCGGTAACTTTCCTTTTGTGGACAAGGACATTGTCCTGGATTGGCTTGAGAGTTTGTAGTTTTGAGGCCAGTTTTCTGTTTTCATGATTTGGCTCTACTTTCTGTTCGAGTATCTTTCCTCAGAAATTGCTGTAACTCTATCCATAGTGGCATTTCGTGGTCAAATGGTCAGTTATTCGCCAGTAGCGCCACTGAATAAGTAAATACAAACTGTTCTTGTAATGTGTGTGATCAATCCACGTGATTTGAATTTTTCTTTCAACGTTCTTCATGATTAAAAGAAGCGATTGTATTTCCTTGGGGTAGGGACGAGAAATATAGTTCATATGGTCCATACATATACTTGTCTGGTGCATTGGGGGTAATTTTGGGGTAAAAGCTTAAAACAAAACAGAATTGGCTTGGGAAATATTTGAAAGACAGACGTTCAGACATTGAATCGGTAACCAAGTAGCTGGAAGTTTGGAGGTTTCTGGAGTTTAGTTTCACAATGGTTAACACGTGTTGGACAGTGGATCCTGGATTTTATGGATTCATCCCCGTTACTCCGTAAAAACGTTGTGTGTTAGTGTTAAGTGATTATATATATACAACCTTTTGAATTTAGGGAGGGGGCAATTTTCCTGATGTCACAGTTAAAATCTGTATTATATGTACCAATGCACAACTATTCAGAAACGTTCTAGAAACGTTGTGTGTTAGTATTAAATCATTATAAATACAATCTTTTGAATTTGGGGGGCATTTATCGGGAGTAATTTTCCAAGGGGCAATTTTGTGGGGGCAATTTTCTTGATACCACATTTAACATCTGTATTATATGTACCAATGCACAACTATTCAGCAACGTTCTAGAAACGTTGTGTGTTAGCGTTAAGTGATTATAAATACAATCTTTTGAATTTGGGGGGCTATTATCGGGGGTAATTTTCCAAGGGGGGAAATTTTGCTGATACCACATTTAACATCTGCATTATATGCACGTGCGCTTGATGAGTTATAACCTTTCAATAACTGCTAAGATGCTCCAAAAGAACGAGGTTGTATTGATCAATTTTTAGTGAGTGTAACAGAGAAGGTGGCTTCATCTCTAGACCTTGTAATTCTGAAGTTAGTACACATTCAACGAGGTGTTTACTCTAATTCGCCATAATGGTTAGCGAGTGCAGACGTGTTTGTTTCCAATCGAGTTCCAGTAGTGTAAGCAAAATCACGCGTTTTGTTTATAGAACCACGAGCTGCTTAAGTTGAATGCAAATAAAGATCTCTGATAAAGTCTTACCCGTTTTATTACACATGCGCAGTATCAGCGCCTAGGAGTGGAATGTTTTGAAAATGAACAGTTATCATTATATATGGGTTTTAAAAAAGGGATTAGCGCGAGCTTTAACAAAGCCGGAGTTCGAGCCGAGCTTGAACCGTATGTTAATTAGGCTGAAATGGTAAAGCTGGTGGCTCGGTGGTAAGCTTAAGGGCTTATAACGCTAAAATGCATATTTCAATCCCTGCGGTAAGAAGAGCACAGATAGCTTAATGACAAACAAACAAAAGTAATAATATAAATAAACCCTCCCTATTTCGAGACACATTTTACTGCAGCCCAGCGTTCAAAAATTTGAACCAAATTTTTGTCTTTTATTGGCGTCACTTTTGAGCGAGACGAATAGTGGGATTGACCGTCACTATATAACGCCCCTACGACTGAAAGGTGGGACGGGGAGTCGAACCCGCAGGCTGCGATTCGAGCGCCACCTAACAACCTAGCCATGAGTAAAGCATTGCTGTAGAGGAAACTTCCAATAGACTCCCGATGGTTCAGCGGTAAGACGGAAGGCTAAAATCAGGGTTTAATACCCGCGGTGTTCACAACAATGATAAACCATTGTGTTCCTTTGTGCTTTTCAACAAACAAAATTAAACGAGTTCAATAAAATCAACGATAGGGCCCTCTGTTGGAAGATGTAAAGACCAAAACAATACAACAAATGTTGAATAA